TATATATATATATATATATATATATATATATAGATATATATATATATATATAACCCGTACACACAAAGTAATCATACGGGGTAACAGGTATGGGTCAGGTCATAACATACAAATAGAACATACCACTTTCTAGTACAAAAACATATTTTTCGGATGGAACATTAAGTAGGTGAAACTAGAAACTTATTTGTAAAAGGATTAATACTTATTATCAAACTCGTATAACATAAAGGACCTTAAATGGTTAATTCTATAATTCCTTAATTTATACATCAGAGTTATATATAATTAATATCTGATAGGCAGTGGAATGTGTGACTTCCACCTTACTTCCTGTTCCATGTTTGGTTGTGGGCTTAGGGCAGATTCACACATTTAAGTGTCCGTTCGATATTAGGTTATATATAGCTACTATAAACTAAGTGATTATAGAAGGAATTATTGTGGTTACCAGTTTACTAAAGAAAATATTTGATTTTCTTAAAGAATATTTTCATCAAATATCAAATAACTATTACAGTTAACTCCGTAAGCACTTGGTGAATACGTCAGAGTTATATACAATGAAGATCTAACAAACAATGGGATGTGTGACTTCCGCCTCATTTCCTGTTCCTTGTTTGGTTGTGGGCTTAGGGCAGATCCACACAATCGATTGTCTGTTTGATCTGAATTGTATATAACTTGTATTCATTAAGCACTCATAAAAGGAATTGTAAGAGTCATTTTTACTTATCATTCATCACATTAGAAAATATAGGATTTTCTGGAGGAACAGGCGAACTTTTCTACAGAATTAAGAGTATAATTTTTATAACGAAAATACTTATGAACTCACCAACTTAAATGTTGATACTCTCTTTCCAAAATAACTTGTATTCTCGGGAAAACTAGTAGACAGGTACACGCACCGGGATTCAGTAGATGGAGCATAGTAGCATCAAGTCCTTGTTTTGTTATTTACTTTGGAGTCAATCCTTTGTGAAGCAAATACATTGTAAACGCTTTAATATTAATGCAATGGTTGTTGTTTCTTGATTTACTATTGTACATTTGTTGTGATACTAAGCATGACGTCCTCCGCCCCCGAACGTTTCCATTGTTTCGGTTTAGGGGAGTGACATAGTGAAATGACTATACGTACAATTTACATGGAAATACGATTCTTCAAACGATTTTATATACGAATAAAACTATATATTCCACTTTAATGTATGGAAAACACTGGTACATTTCGGTTTTGGAACTTTTACAGCTTACATCTCATTCTTTTGAAAATATTGGATTTTTTGGAACAAACACCCTTATGTCACAAGTGAACAACTAACATTTCATTATTAGAAAATATCGGATTTTCTAGAAACAAACACGATATCTTTTTACGGAAAGGCTTACTATTTTCATATAAACTCTTATGAACTCACCAACTTAATTGTTGACACTTTTTCAAACAAATTGTATTCTCAGGAAATCAGTAGAACATATAAACACCCGCTTTTGAGGATGGGGAGCTATGGCGTCAAACAAGTCTTTTTTTTTGTCATCATATTGTAATTGCCTTTTGAAACATGTAACACTTACTATGACGTAACTTTTTTAATTATATATTTGACGGTCATGTTTGCTTTTTGTACTACTATCCAACTGTTATGATACAATACATGAAGGTCATCCACCCCCGGACGTTTCCGCCATCCTGGTTTGGGGGTGTGACACGCAAAGACACCCGACCATCAAAAAACAACACTAAGCGGTTAGTTATCCTTTATCCCACTAATGCATACAAGAGATGTGCGGATGTTTTTCAAAAAGATTGCATACATTTTAGGTTTATAGAAAAGGGTATTTATATATTTTATAATTCTAGTTTAAAAACATATATGATATCATGGTTATTACATGCATATAATAAACCATGGTATCAATTTTCAAAAGAAAATCACTTTTAAAGGTTCTATATAAAAAAACTATTTTTTATATAATTTGACGCAATTCAATTTTAATAACCGGTATTAAGTTACAAAAATCACCATTTTAAAACTTATAATGGAGTGTTTCAAAATTTGTTGTTATTAATGATTTTATAAAACCAGGTTTTATTTTTTAAAATAATAACTTGTTACATCTTATGTCCAATTTTGAAAACTCAAACTTCATGTGATGTTTATTTTGTCCAAAATTATTTTAGCATCTGAAAAACTAATTTATCAACCAAACATAATAATTGTATAAAATAAACAACAAAAAACATGCATAAAAAGCTATTTGCATAAACATAGCCAACTGATGATATTTTTTGTGAGCCAACACAAAAGATACCAAGTCCATTCCTAAAGGAACATTTAAGGGGACCAAAAAAGTACTTGTAATGTTGTTGTAGACACCAATTGCTTGCAAAGGATTGGAAAAAATTCTTGAAGGCTAAAATTCAGCAACTGTCGCTAAAAGTCCAACAACCCTTTGTAAACAACATTAGTGACACTTTTCAGAAAATGTCACTGAAAATCTTGCACACCTTTTAGACTCGAAAATTGCTCTTTTGTCTTCAAAAATGGTTTCAACTTCATTTCTTGTTACATTTTTGTACAAATAAATTAATTCTAAAAACTAATCTATTGCTTACAAAAATAAACCAAGAAAACTAATCTATTTAATTTAATTACATACCATATGAATAAATAAATTATTACAACCATTTTTATAAAACAACTAACACAACAACACAACAACACAACAAACACAATGGTCGTTTGGCTATTTTATGAACATCATACATATCAACATACACATAAAACAACATTTGTTTTTTCTAAGACAACTTTAAATGACAAAAAATTCATGAAAACTTTTGTCACATAAAATAACAAATATAAAGTCGTCATAGAAAAGATGTATAAACTTTATTTTATACAAAAACAACTTATCCATATTCTCCAAAAACTGAGATTTCCAAAAATCAAAAAATCTAACCAAACTTGCAAGGTGGCTCTGATACAAATTGTTGGGTTTTAGTTCAAAAATAGTTTCATAAACTAGAAAATTATGGCAAACGGAAGACTTAAATTTCGAACATAACATAACATTTTATACCCACCAAAGATCTTGCAAGTTATAGAAAGATTTAAACACCAACCAAAGAAAGGATGAAGAAATAACAACCTTTGTTGTTCTTTGGGTCCTCTTAGAAGGCTTGAAAGTTGATGAAGAATGTGGAACCTTTGAGACACCAACAATGACTCAACTTGATGTAGATGCTAGTTCATAGACTCTTAATCCTTTAAGCTTTAAGTTCATAACTAATATGAACTTAAAGAAGGTATATAAAAGCAAGTAACTTCAAGAAAAGATGAAGAAAAAGAGAGAGTAACCTTCTCTAAGGAGATTACGGTTTTGGAGAGTGTGAATGAGCAAGCCAAATGAAAGCATCCAGTCTTGTATTTATAGTAGAAACAATTCCCTTCTTTATGAATAAAATAATCACAACACCATTTCCTTATCTAAATAATCAAAGAATCATTCTCTCATTTAAATAATCAAAATGTCATACTCTTATTTAAATATTCAAATAGTCATTCTCTCATTTAAATAATCAAAAGCTCATAACTCTTTTCTTTTTGAAAATTATATACAAAAGAGAAGAGTTTTTTAAATTTTATAAACTCAAAGTTTATAAAATATAAACTTTGTCTTTTGAGTAAAAGACAAAAGGGTTTCAACTAGTCCATAAAGTTGTACAAAACTTATTAATTCATACCATATGAATTATGTAATATTACTTGCTAATGAAAATAATTATTTCCATGAAATAAATAATTTCCAATTTTATTATAAGAGTTTTATTGAATATTTATTGAAATCAATTTCTAATAAATAATCAATTATATCAAGATGTTGTTAGTGTGACCCACTAGTATCATATGTTAATTAGCAATATCACTTTGATATGATTTTTGAGCATACAAGACATTTCACGTACCGCTGGAGTACGCCCCGCGTACTCGCACTTGGTCAGCTCGGTTGACTCGGTTGGGTTAACTGAGTGGGTTTGAGCAGTTGACCAAGTTTGACCAAGGTTGACCATTAAGGGTATTTTGGGATTTTGATGGATTTGGTCTTCGGTGGGATTAGGTGTCGGTTAGAGAGCTGAGTTTCAGAGTCAGGGACATTATCAGCTTCTGTCAGTTTGCGAGGTGAGTTTTCCTCACAATACTTTTGGGTCGAAGGCATCAAGGTCGGCCCATTGGATTGTTATGTTGGTTTGTCACATGTTGGTATGTTGTAGTGATTTGTTAGATCTGTATCCTGGTAGATTGGATGATGCTATGCTTAGTGATCTTTAAGATTTGTCTGATTGTCTTTTAGCTGATTATATGTATGCTTAATCGTTATGTATATGTCGACATGGTTTATGTGTGGTTGGGTTGAGGCGTACCAGTGTAGACTGAAGGCCAAGAGACCCAGGGCGTCCCGGATAGAATGTAGGCCCGAAAGGCATACCAGTCATGCTGAAGGTTTTGTGATCGTACCAGATGGACTGTAGGCCGGTGGGGCGTTCCAGTCAAACTGAAGGCTCTGTATGCATGCTGCTGTTATTGTATATGTTGTTTGTTGTGTTGATATTTTGGGGGATCTCACTAAGCGTTTATGTTTCAGGTATTTCAGAGGACCGCGGGAAGGCGAAGGCATGACCGTACACATCCTCAAGTTTTGGGACTATGATTTTGGAAACTCTGATGTTGAAATGCTTTTGAAACTATGTTTGTAACAATTTGTGAAATTGGTTGGTTTTATAACGTTTAAATTTTTCTTGATTTTTATGAGTGTGACACACTTACTCTCGAGCATAAAAAAGGAAAGATAAAACTAGAAATCTGAACAACTCCAATACAAAAGAACAAAGCGATATGAAAAAGCCATTGAAACCCAAATAATTGCGTATGAAGACGAGATAGAATACAAAGCAGAGTGAGAGACAAAATGAGATGATCTGAATTATACATGCCTTCACTCAACATTATATATATCAGGTTGAAAGTTGTCAAGTAAAACCCAAACCATACTTGTAAACCCGAACAATGTTAAAATCCACGCTTTTATCAACTTTCACAGAAACGAGGTGCACCCCTACAACTATTTAGTTTCACAAGTTCAACCCTTGAAGAAGTACAACTGCACACCATATCTTTTTACCATTTTAAGCAAAATTCCCAATACAACAATACAATATATTTCACCAAATAACAAACAATAACTTCATAAATAATACACAATCATGGCACTCAATATGTATCTTGCAACATCAACATCTTTCATTTCACATCTGTTGGTTGTTCTGCAAGACCTGTCGAGTCATAATAATAAATGTAAGAAGTAGCAACATACTTTCATTCATTTGTTTATTATAGTATCCTACTTTTATTTCTGCAGGTTACATATATGTATCTGTGTATGCTATAAATTTTTCCCTAGATCACTCTAAACAAATGTTATCTGTTAGTTGCTTTTATAATCTTCTCTTAACCAGCCAAATATGGTTCCATTTCTGAAACCACGACTGTGCTTGGAAAACATCTCAACTTTATTCTCAATTCAAATAAATGAACCATGAACTCATTTTATTTATAATCTGATTATTAAATCCCTATTTAATCGATCTTTCATTCCCTTAATTGAGAATCTACTTGATAATCTTCACTACCATTGTGTTTTGATAAAATTTATTTTTGGTTAGCCAAATTAAATAAGACTTCAATTTCTAAGATATTATACTTTCTAAACTTTCACAATTTACCAATAAACAAGTGTGCTTATAAAATTAAATGAGTTTCGTTTACCTTCCCAAGGATAGTGCCTTCTTTTTGCAACAGCTTATTCTTCATTATTTTCATCTAGAAAAAAAATATAATAATAATAAATTAAAATAAAAAAACTGAAAGGGGTTATATTTATTGAAAGGATAATTCGGTAGTTGTTTGTTATATATACGATAGAATCCTCAATAAATAGAAGAGTCATCAATTCGTAGTATTGAGTTGTTTTATATATACACCATATATGATTTGAAAAACATACCATGTACTTTCTTAATCATCATTTTAGACTTCCAAATTCTATTTCTCCACTGGCCTGCAAAAGTACTTAACAAATTAGATCACATAACAAAACAATATTATTATACAGTGGCATATATGTCAGGGATCTACCCTTTTCATACCTGATTTGGGATGATATCATTAATTGAACAATCTCTTCCTTGATCATGAAATTTGATGTTAGGTATATCATGGACTCCATGACCCCATCTCATCATGCTTAGACAACGTTTCACCTTTATAAACTTCAAAGAAGGATATTTGATGGCAGAATGACCAGAGTAGAAGCTCTCGAGTCTGGACAAACGACTCAATGTAACACTGGTAAGCCAAGGGAACACGGTTTCTGCATCAGTTTCAGTGCCTTCTGTTTGCTCAATTTCACCATAAGTTGTATGTTCATCATTGGCCGAAATCACCACTTCAAGATTATCACAATCTTGAATCTCTATATCACTTAAATTCACAAGCCCTTGTGCTACATCAACTGGAAATAGACTTACCAAGGAGGGGCAATCTATAATTTTGATTGTTTGTAGACTACCAAAGCTTATATATTGATGTGGGCAATCCCATAGAAGCTCCAAGCCTTTCAGACATACCAAGATAATTTCTTCCATTTGGGCAAAAAACTTCTCCTTTGTTTCCCCTTCACCAAAGTTTTGCATTGCTTCTCCATCTCTTGTTTTCACCAAGTGTGAAACATTGGGACAATTACTTAACTTAATAGATTTTAAATCATTAAAACTCTCTTGATACAAGCATGGTAGGATGCTTTCGATATCTTCTATCGTGTCCAACACAATATGCTCACTTGTCTGAATCAGTTTCTTCATTGGCCTCATACATGCGATCTCATTACCCGCAATAGAGAGTATGCGTTGTATATGAGAATTATGTATGTCAAAAATACTCTCTGATATGTAACCAATTTGAATATAAAAGTCTGTTAAAGTTTCCAAGTTGGCAGTACCTTGGGAGAAAAATCCAGGATTAGACGCAAATAAATACAGAATTTTGAACGACTTCAACGTACTTAGTTCTACAAGACCAAGTTGAGCCAAATCTCCAGCGCAGTCTAAAATGTGCAACTCTTCCAAAGAAGTGAGCCTTGATAAGACACCAGGTGTTATATGAGACAGATCCTCACAAGACTCAAGATGCAGCAACCTTAAACTGGTCAATTGACCGATCTCTTCAGGAATGATTTCAATTCCAGTAAATCCAAGCATTAAAATCTCAAGGTCTTTTAACTCCCCAAGCATAGAAATATCATGGAGGCCATTGTTATAACTTAGATCAAGCATGCGGAGTTTTGTGAGCAGTTTCAGAGATTGGGGAAGGAAGGAGATCTGGTTCAAAGACAAATCTAGAACTTTCACTTCTCTCATGCCTCCAAAGAATTTATCGGGGATAACTGAAACTTCATTGCCTCGTAAATTTAAGGTATCAAGAAGTGGGAAATGAAGTTCATCATCTGGAAGCTCACGAATTTTATTAAACAAGAGCGAGATCTTCGTGTAGCTTTCTGAGGTGTTCTTTCTTGGTTTCCATTCAGTCAAACCTTTTCCAACAGCCACGAAAAATTTGTCTTTACCTTTAGAAGCTATTAACAAAGCCACATCACGAACAACGTCGTGCATTTGAACACATTGTATGATCTCCGAAGGCAATAACAAGAAAGAGGATTTGAGAGTGTCAACTGCAATTTGAACTCTATTTCTCGCATCCTGAAGGCTTATGAGATCACTAAATATCGCTAGACCCACCCCATAGCTTACCAAATCTGTCAAATACACGGATCCAGCTTGTTTGAACATACAACATAGTAAGAAGCACGATTTAGCTTCTTCACTTTCAAGATAGTCATAGCTCAGCTTCAATTGAGTAAATGCTTTCCTTATCTCAGGAGCAATATCTAAAGGGGCATGATTTTGTAGTCGATCAAGCGTCGCCTCCCATAGATCAGTGGGTTTGTTTCGTAAGGCTCTTCCGACAACTTGAATGATGAGCGGCAATCCACCACATTCTTGAACGACAGCTTTTGCGATTTTTTTCAGTCTTGTGTCTTTGTCTAATCTTTCACCAACCACTCGTTTAAAAAGGATCCACGCTTCATCTTCCTTCAATGTGTTTACACAGATATTACGTTGCACATTCATTGCTTCACATAGATTTTTGCTTCTTGACGTTAACAAAATCTTGCAGTTCTTGTGGTCATTCCCACACGGAATGCCTACATCAGAGAGTAATAGTTCCTCCCATATGTCATCTAAAACGATTAGAACCTTGTCGCCATTGATTATTCGCTTTGCTGCCGCTTCGACATCTTTGTCAATCCTTTTAGTGTCTACAGTTTGTGAGACGGTTATAAACACGATATCTGCAAATAGATTCTTCACTTCTGCAACAACTTCCTTGGCTAACGTTGTTTTTCCTACACCTCCTAAGCCGTAGATTCCAACGATTTGTATGCTTTCATCTGAGAGAGCTTCAATGATTTCATCCAAAATAAACTTGTGGGTATTGATATCATCAAGATTCTTCCGTTCGTATAGGTCTACGAAACTTGGGGTTGGAGCAGGAAGGGAGACACAACTCTCATATGTTTTGCCATCTTCGTGGATCTGAAGAATAATCCGCGTGTTGAATGTGGCCATCTTTACTGTAATAACGGAGTGTGCTCAAACTGACACATAGTCGTAAGTTGAAGCATGTCTTCTTGGCATTAGCTTCTCCTTCAAGAAACTTCCCGGCCTTGGAAACTTCAGCTTCGGCCTTTTCGATCCAGTTCTGCACACCATCTAAGAGACGATCTCCTTTATCTTTAGCTAAATGGATTCGTTGTTGAACCATGCCCTTCATATCGTTGAGCTTTTGAGCTTCATTCCTCAGCTTGTTAATATTTTCAGTGCAATTCCGGACGTAGTCAATCTCCTGCTTAACTAGTCCGAACACCAAATCCACGACTTTTCCAATCAAGTTATTAGCAACCTCCATTCTAGATTTTTCTTTCTTTCGATGGCTATAATGGGAAAAGTAGTTCAAAATGATATTAGATTTACAAACACGAAATGTTTATGCAACAGAAAAACCAAGTAATTAATTATCAATTGCGGAAAAGAATGGAAGATTGTTTGTTTGGCATAATAAGGTTACTGAAAAGAATATTACGATGCCAAGAAGGAATACTAATTAATTCTTAATTGCAGAATAAAGATGAGAGATTGTTTCGATGGTACATATGATAATGCTAACTTTTCTTTATTTATATGATTATCAACCATAAAGTGATTAATAAAAACGAAGATGGTACTATACATTTAAAAAATTTCATTTAAACAAGTGTAAGGTGTTATTTTGTCTCATATTAAGCTTTATGTCATATAGTATCAAATTGCTTGAAAATAATGCTAGTACAATTCAGTTTGCTTTCGCAAATAATCATTCATATATACAGGTCACATTGCGACAACTGTAACATCAGCCACTGCAGAAAGCAATAGTGGGGACACATTAGAAAGCAATAAAAACGATACCCAACAAGTGATATTATTAACAGCTGCACAAGTCGCTCCCATTGTCATTATTTCTTGAGTGCCATTATGAGAAATTAAATATCCTTCAACTTTCCTCCCTACATATATTCCTACCCATTTGAAATTGTGACAAATGTATTTAAAATATCATTAATCTTATCCAAATATGACTACATGTCATCATTTTACATTGGTAGAAAGATAATTAGAAAGAAAAGGTAGAAGGATATTTAATTAATTGGTGGACATTTTAGGGCAAAGATAACTTATACCTGACCCTTTCCTTATATGCTATTTCCCCTTCATCTCGTCTCTTACCCGTTCATCCAACTTTTGACCATCTCTCCTCCCGCCATCCGCATTTCATAATCTACCGACCATCAATGAGGAATCAAAGAATCAACAGGTCGACGTTCTGTTATGGATCAACAGATCGATGACATTCCGCTCATTCCATCTCGATCGACTACACCTACCCTTCGTCGACAGTGGATCTCTAATTTCACGTAACGAACCAGATCGTCGGGGCCTTGTTTTTGGCTGCGGTTATCAACGATGCACCAGATCATAACATGACTTTCTTGAAGAAGTTATTATCGAGGATTGAGATTCTGTTGAAGAACGACAGTTTTAAGGCGAAGGCGTTATTTTCGAATGAAATCAGGTCTGATGAAACATTGTTCTTGATCGATTTCACCTACAATTTGTGTTTCTCTTCCATGATCGTTACCTTATTCATGATTAAAAACCGATTTCGAGATTTTATCACTGTTTTTAGTCAATATTCAATTCGTATTCATCATTAAACAGAATCATATCCTTCCTTGTTCTATTTTTGTTTCAATCGATTAGTTTCCCAATTTCACTTTCTCATCATTCACAATTGATTTGAAAATGTTTACTGATTGAATGAACTTGTTATGAAAACAGAAACATGGCGACTTCCATCTCAATAATAGATGAAGATGAAATATTGTTGGTTAAATCGGTGTTTGATTTGAAAATCGCCTCATTGAATGAACTTGCTTAAATTAGGTTTGATTTAAGATTTCTTATCTATAACCAACAGAAGGATTTTTTTTCTCCCATCGATAGGTATCAATCCTCAACCCCAACCTTCTCCTTTTTTCCACCTCTTTCTTATATGTTTTTGTTTCACGTTTTACAGTGATCCAAAGGTCTATGTAAGTCAGAACCACTTAAGATATTCACAACAATTTTTTGAGTTATTTCAATCAAAAGATTAAAATATGATTTTGAGGTTCCAATTCTCTCCTTCTTCCATACTTCAAACTGTTATCTTCTATATTTTGGTCTTCCATTTAATGTCTAAGCTAATTTAAATACAAAATATTGGTAAACATTATATATAAAAGAAGATTTTGACAATCAGTGTCGTACCAGGTCATTCCAAGGTCTTCAGGTGTAGACCGTAAATTAGACCTCTACAAGTTAATTAGTGTTGTAATTCAGAAAATATTATTGTGTTAGATATTTTTAGCTCCAAATGAAATCTCTATTACTCCCTTATTACAAGTGAGGGATCGAGTGACAGATCTTAGTATCAACATTCTTCATTCTTATAGGAAATTTTGTGCAACTGTTTCATGATTTGGACAAGTTATTCTTCTTGAGGCTCTCAAGTTGTTGCCTTTATACACTCTTGGTATGTTTATAGCATTCTACGGTAAAGGATTAGTAGTGTTGGTTTTGATATTTAGTTTCATTTTACAGCTTAAGTGGTGCACCTCTTGGTGCAGACCTGATGATCAAAACCAACATATTGATGTGGAAGATATATTTGATGAATATGGTGGACGATTTATGCTCGTTGACATGGCTAGATCAAAAAATATATAACAAGTTGGTCAAACTGGATTCAAAGCCAAAAAGCAGGTAATTTTCAAGTTGAGTAAAACTTTTCATTTCTTCAAAAAAGAATTATAAAAAGTTACTAAGAAAGTTGTTCCTTTAAATTGATTAATTATTGTTCTTCAATCATGTGTAATTCCTGTATAGTAGTAACCTAGAGGGTTGGTGACATTAAAGTGTCTGATTAATAAAAATCACATATAATTCACATATGAATCAATTGTAATTCACATATGAATCTCATGATATATCCGAATATTAAATAATATATTCACATCATAACAACATTTGAACATTTGAATTACATGTGCTTCACATATGAATTGCATGTGATTTACATGTAAATCACTAGTAAATCACACATAAATCACATGTGAGTCACATGTAAATCACATGTAATTTGCATATAAATCACATGTTAATCACTAGTAAATCACATATGAATTACATGTGATTCACATGTGAATCACTAGTAAATCACATATGAATTACATGTGATTCACATGTAAATCACATGTAATTTGCATATAAATCACATGTAATTCACATGTAAATCATTAATGAATCACATACGAGTTACGTGTGACTCAGTGAATCACACGTAATTCGTATATGTTTCACATGTAAATCACAAGTGAGGTACATATGAATTACGTCTATGTGTACACGTACATATATTTTGTGACAACCCGAAATTTTTTGCCTTATAAGTCCAACCATTCAATTCAACCGTGTGTCAGACTCGTTTCTGCTATCTTTTAGCCTTGTTTAGAGTCTGTTTAAGGGTTCAAAGCTCAGTACATTCAAGCATTGGGTTTAGGGATGTGTCAGCTAAAGTTCTTCGCGTTAAAATCAAGTCGAACACTCCATTAGAGGGAGTGTACGGCCGTACACATGAGTGTACGGCCGTACACAGGTGTGTGCGCCCGTACACCCATGTTGGCCGTACACCCCCTCCACAAGTATGGTATCCCTTCATTTCTAAGTCATTTATTCAGTTTCCAAGTCAATAACTCGAGTTTTCTCTCAACTATCATTAAGCTTTTCACCCCGATCTTCAAGAATGTAAGCCTTTCTTCCATTTTGATTAGTTGTTATTCTTCTTAACCTAGTAACAACCTTTGATTTCATCCATGCAAATCATCTTCTTGGGTAGATCTTCGAATCTTCATCCATTTCACCAAGAACACCAAGAACACCAAGAACACACTCTTGTTCTTGGTGGCTGTAAACACCCTTTTGAGCTTCCAAAGTATAAGTACCCTTTCCCTATGCTTAGTACATGTTAGGAACACTTTCTTAACACCCTAAAAATGACCAAAACTCAAGATCAAAAGGAGTGTACGGCCGTACACCCATGTGTGGCCGTACACCCCTCAAACCACCCCTAAAGGGCCTCCAAAGTGAGAATCTAGTTCACATCCTTGTTGATAAATAGTCCCACAAGCTTCCCTATCATTCAAACACACTTTTGTGCACTTTTTACCATGAGTGTACGGCCGTACACTCCATGGCCGCACACTCCTCATTGTGGTTGTACACTCCCCTTTGATGAATCGCATGTGATTCTAACACTTGGTCCAAGTGTTTCCTAGTCCCTAAGAGTGTTTCCTTGCATGTTAGTTGCTTTTAAACACTAAATCATGCCAATATATGCCATATATGTCGTTTAGGACTTGTTTGTGTCTCGGGACTTCATTCGTGGAACTTCTCATCCTTACGCGCACATTCGTTTGAATCACCAACATAAGGTGAGTTCATACCCATATAATCAATCTTTTAAACTGTTTTAAATGCTTTTTTTGAGGGGGAATACAAGTTGAACACAATGATAATTGTGTAAATGTTTGTTATAAACATCTTTCAAAGAACCGCTTATGTTTTTATAAGTGATCAAAACATCTCAAAAACTCTTTTTAAGTTATGTTACTTTATAGTTTATAAAACTCCGTTTTTAAAGTACAATCATAACTTAGTAGATAAATGAGTCTTTTCAGTAACAGTTCAAGTAAACATACTAGTAAACTATAATAGGTATAGTTTAGAGGTTTAGTTCACACTAGACACTAGAACAGAGAACATACTATAAAGAGAAATAGGGAGGTAGATACAATACACGATAACATAAGAGAACATACTATAAAGAGAAACAGGGAGGAAGATACAATACACGATAACAGAAAGAACATACTATATACTATAACAGAAGAACAAATCATGATTTACAAAATATACCAATGATCACTAACTCATTGTTCTAAACAAAAGGTGATAATAAATTGGGTATACAAGTCTACTACAACTTTAATGTGAGACTACTTCACAGCTTAGCAATTTGTTTGCCGAAGACGCGTTTTGTAACCAAAATCTCTTGCAGGGAGAGCGTATAGTATGGGTACAACCACATCACATTATGACCTTAATAAAACATACTTGTTTTAAGGTAACCAGTACTTCAGAATGTCAATTTAAAAGACAACTGTGTACTTACATTTTCCCATTACTTTCATATTGTGACAGTTCCACTTGAAAGTTAATGCAAACTATTTTCGAGTTAAGATAGTTATAAACTAAGGAAAACTTACATCT